CTTCCCCTTCCCTTCCCTTCCTTTCCCTACCAATCCCTACCCTTCCCTACCCTTCCTTTCCTTTCCATACCCTTCCCTACCCTTCCCTATCCTTACCTTCACTACCCTTCTTTACCCTTCCCTTCTACCTTTCTTTTTCAATTTTAAACTCATTTTCTCTGTGTACTGAATATAATATAAAAATTTTACCCTTTAGTAGTCTGTATGATGTATGATAGAAGATATCTTGATATTAATTTTGGAAGCCTTTCCGATACATATGCATAATATGAGGAATATTATGCAGTATGTGTTCTACTTACATTTATTGATTTTGCAAAAGGTGGTTTTGTAGATTATTTTGTTGGCTCATTAATAAAGAGATTTTTTAAACTTTACTTTCATTTACACATTTGTATTGCATAATTTTGTGTGTTTGGACTTGAGAAATTTTCACTTTTAGAATCTGTTTTGGATATTTTAATTTTAAAAGGGTCATGAAAAAAGTCGACTTTTATTACTTTTGAAAATGTACCAATTTAAACAAAAAAGAAACACAAATTTTAAACGATTTTTAATGGCGAATTTCAGGGCGACAGTCAACCATAAAGGCTGGGGGGTCTGAATCTATGAATAGCCTGGGGGGGGAGCGTCCCACGCCCCTCCCATTAAAAAAAGGTCTTAGAGAATAGGTATAGAATTAAAATGCATAATCATAGACCAATTTTTCAACGCCAGCTCATTGAAAAAAAATTAGACAGATAATTCTAATAGTTTGGGCTCTATAGGGAAGGTTGAAAAAAAGCCCAAAAAAGGTAAAGTTGTAATTTTTTCAAAAAGATATCCAATTGTGACACATGTTTCTAAATCCATTTTTTAAGGAATTTTTAAAAATATAATTTTTAGATCTGTAGCTTTAGTCACAAAAAAGTTAAGGGCCATTTTAGATTTTTTTACACAGACCGAACTTTTTACCGCCCTGTACCCTACCCTATGCATTAAAAAAAATTGACAGAAAAATTCTTTATATTAACTATTCATTAAAAGTCACAAAATTTTACGGTAATAGTGACAAAAATGAGAGTGCTAGGACAAAAAAAAACTATAGGGCCGGCCAAGCCTGTTTAGGGTTAAAAGCTAAAATAGTTAATGGGTGAGGCCTAGTTTTTACTAAACTTCTTTAAATAAATTAGTAAAAAAATACTCTACAGATTGACCCCGAGAAGTAAAACGTATTCAATGACCTCTTCAAATGACAAGTTCATGATGTACAAGGGGTTGTACGATTTTCAGCTTTACAGTCTGCATGAACAATCTATTCTAATTTATCTATGAGTACACATGAGATCATTAGTGCAATTGATCTGGAATACTAAAAATATTTGTTCAATTGCGCACTGATTCTTTTTTTCTGTAAATATTAGTGCAATTGAACGTTAGTGTAAATGAACATTTTTAACAAAAAATTTGTTCAAACGGACTAGATTTTTTTCTGTAAATATTAGTGCAATTGAACGTTAGTGCAAATGAACATATCTCCAACAAAGAATTTGTTCAAACGGACCAATTTCTTAAAAAAAATATTAGTGCAATTAAACGTTAGTGCAAATGAACATGTACATGGTGAAATTTTAGATTTTAGTTCGATTGAACATATTTTTGTTCGTTTGCACTAAAATATGTTCATTTGTACTAATGGGCAAATGGTAAAATTTAAAATTTTAGTTCGATTGAACATATTTTTGTTCATTTCGCACTAAATATGTTCATTTGTACTAATACTATTTTGTGGGCAAATTGTGAAATTTTAGATTTTAGTTCGATTGAACATATTTTTATTCATTTGCACTAATTAATATGTTCATACTAATATTTTATGGGCAAATGGTGAAATTTTAGATTTTTGTTCGATTGAACATATTTTCGTTCATTTGCACTAAAATATGTTCATTTGTACTATAATTAATATTTTATGGGCAAATGGTAAAATTTTAGATTAATTAGTTTGATTGAACAATTTTTTGTTCATTTGCACTAAATACGTTCATTAGTACTAACATCGATTTTACCGGAACTTTTAGCTTTAGTTCAATCGAACATTTTTTGTTTCCCACTACAATTTATGTTCCATGGGAACTAATTAATTAAATGAACCGAATTCCGCTAGAATTTTAAAAAATAGTTCTCCACGTGCTCGAAAAACCTTCCACGTGGTTTTTAGTTTGATTGAACAATTAGTCGCACTAAACGTTAGTCCGAATGAACGTTAGTGCGAATGTACGTTAGTCCGATCAATCATTAGTGCAAACGATCTACGACACAAAGTAAACCAACCAAAATGTTAGAGCAAAATTTTGTTAAGACGACATTTTATAACTTAGATGATCTGCACGACGAGAACTTGTTGCGGCAAGGTAGATCTAAAAATAAAAAGAAAACAAGCTCGCCGCTCGGGAAAACTGATTAGTACGTTATATATAGATAATAGAAGAAATACGTCTTGACCAATTCCATAATATTGGAAGGTATATTCCTAGAGAACGATTTTTGGACCCCCCCATCTGATTTTTTTTACTCTACTGAGGCAAGTAGTACGAATGTTCTTACTGTTNATTTAGTTTTTTAATTAAATGATTTTATAAAAATATCACAATATGGGATATTTCATTGTATGTTTTTATACTGACTATTTTCAGATACTCACTAGGCCGGACCCTTTAATATATTTATAAAGCCTACAAAACTCGCACTTTTAGTTGGTATAAGAATTGGGTTAATCCTAGAGAACAATATCTGAACCCCCTCCCTCCCCCTATCGATGTTGTGCATGGCCTAAATTTCAACTCCTTTAAGCAAAATTAATATGGTTTTTTATATTTGCGGCCATGATTTATTATTGACAATAACTCTTAAATAATGTCAGGTGGATTTTTTTGGTGAATAGTGCTGATTTGAGATACAAGATGTGTTGAAGAAATGGTGTAGATGATAATAGTGACTGCTTGTATTGCTATGTTTTCAAACATATTATTTCAGAGTTAATGAGAAGAACTTTTCTAGAAAATACAATGGAGAACCGGTATGCCTGTGATCAATGTGCATATGCAACAACAAATTCTACAAATTTAAAAAGACACAAAGAAAGCGCCCATCTGGGTGTGAGGTATCCTTGTGAAAAATGCCCGTATAATGCAACAAAATTATCAAGCTTGAAAAGACACATAGAAAACCAGCATGAAGGAGTGAGATATCCATGTGATAAATGTGATTACACCGCGACAGACTCATCAAATTTGATAAAGCACAAAGCAAACAAACATACAGGGATCAGATTTGAATGTGATCAATGCAATCATGTTGCAGGCGCACTGTATAGTTTAAAGAGACATAAAGAAAGTAAACACCTAGGGATAAGATATCCTTGTGATATTTGTGATTTTGCTTCAACATCATCTTCAACATTAAAGACGCACAAGCAAACCAAGCATTTTCTTTTGAGACATCCATGTGATCAATGCAAATATTTTGCGAACTCGAGTGCAAGTTTAAGAAAACATAAAGCTAGCAAACATCAAGGAATAAAGTATCCATGTGATATGTGTGAGTATGTGGGAACACAATTGTCTAATCTGAAGACACACAAGAAGAACAAGCATAGCTCTTCTAACAGTTTACCTATAACTGCAGCACTTCTTGAAAATGCTCCAGATTGTGTAACATGCGAACCTGAACTTGATTTTCTCAAATATGAACCTGATCTTGGGAGACAAGAACAAGATTTATTAAAACAAGAACAAACTTTGGTAAAACAAGAGCCTGATTCGATTAAACAAGAACTAGATTTACTAACACAAGAGCAACATTTTACCAACCAAGAATAAGATCTTATAAAACAAGAATAAGATTTTTCCAATTATTTGTCAGACTATTAAAAACAATCCCTAAACAAGCCGTCC